GCGCGCGTCCAGGCGCGGCTCCGGCCCGGAACCGCCCTCCAAAGGCGCACAGACGACCCGCGGAGCGAACGCGTCGCCCCACGCGCGCCTCGGGTCACCCGCGCCCTCGGCCCCGGCTTCGGCCGGCCCGTGGCGACCATCTGGCCGCCCCACGCGTGTCGCTCCGGTCGCGGCCCGCGTGGCAGACCCGGGCGCGACCCAGAAGCACGGCGACGGCGCCGGTGGCGTGCCAGGCGGCCGCCAGCATTTCCTCTCTCTGGACGAAGGTCGTCTCGGCCCTGGCCTCGGCCGGCCCGTGGCGACCACGCGGCCGCCCCACGCGTGCCGCTCCGGTCGCGACTCGCCCGGCGGACCCGGGCGCGACCCACGAGCACGGCGGCGACGCCGGCGGTGCCGCTGTGGCCTGTGGGCTCGGCCGCGTGGCGCCTGCTGCCCAAATAGGGGGTCTGATGCCTGGCCCGAGCGGCCGCGGCCTTACAGAATGAATCGACACCAGCGCCGTCGCTCGCGCCGGCAGGTCACTGCTCCGACCGGGAAAGAGACGCGTCGACTCGGCCTTCGCGGCGGCCGCCTGGGCCCATGCCGCGTCCGCGCCGGCCCTCGTGGAGGCTGGCCCACGTCCCCCGAAGGCCGCGAGCGTGGCGGCGGCGAAATTGAATTTTGGAAAAACGCGCGCCGCGCGTCCAGGCGCGGCTCCGGCCCGGAACCGCCCTCCAAAGACGCACAGACGACCCGCGGAGCGAACGCGTCGCCCCACGCGCGCCTCGGGTCACCCGCGCCCTCGGCCCCGGCCTCGGCCGGCCCGTGGCGACCATCTGGCCGCCCCACGCGTGTCGCTCCGGTCGCGGCCCGCGTGGCGGACCCGGGCGCGACCCAGAAGCACAGCGACGGCGCCGGTGGCGTGCCAGGCGGCCGCCAGCATTTCCTCTCTCTGGACGAAGGTCGTCTCGGCCCTGGCCTCGGCCGGCCCGTGGCGACCACGCGGCCGCCCCACGCGTGCCGCTCCGGTCGCGACTCGCCCGGCGGACCCGGGCGCGACCCACAAGCACGGCGGCGACGCCGGCGGTGCCGCTGTGGCCTGTGGGCTCGGCCGCGTGGCGCCTGCTGCCCAAATAGGGGGTCTGATGCCTGGCCCGAGCGGCCGCGGCCTTACAGAATGAATCGACACCAGCGCCGTCGCCCGCGCCGGCAGGTCACTGCTCCGACCGGGAAAGAGACGCGTCGACTCGGCCTTCGCGGCGGCCGCCTGGACCCATGCCGCGTCCGCGCCGGCCCTCATGGAGGCTGGCCCACGTCCCCGCTGGCTCCGCCGCCGCCGCGCTCGCGGCCTCTGGGAGGCGTGGGCCTGCCTAAGGGCGCGGGTGACCCGAAGCGCGCGCGAGGCGACATGTTCGCTCCGCGGATCGTCCGCGCGCCTTCGGAGGGCGGTTCCAGGCCGGAGCAGCGCCTGGGCGCGCGGCGCGCAGTTTTTTCATCGCCAGCTCCGCCGCCGCCGCGCTCGCGGCCTCCGGTCGAGGGTCCTCGAGGCTTTCGCGATCTACGGCGAGGACGCCCACGACGCGGCCCCGCCGACGCACGCGGAGCTCACCCGGTGGCTCGGAGGCGGCGGGCTCTCCGGCTTGGACGAGGACCTCGCCGCGCTGCTGCCGCACGTCCTCGTGGCGACACTCAGCGAGTGGGCCGCGCGCGAGCGCCCGACGACGATCGGCGTCATGTTCCCGGACGCGACGCGCGGCGGCTCGGAGGGTGGGTCGGACGACGGGCCGGCCTGATCGACGCGTGGAGGCGACGCCGTCGGGTCCATCGTCCTCGCGGACGCGGGTCAGGCCACGGAGCCCGGCGCGAAGACCGGGCTGAGCCTCCGGGCTAGAACCGAGCCGGGCGACACGGGCGGAGATTATGGTCGCGCGCCTACGCGCCCTCTAGGCGGCTCCTCAACCGCGCGGCGGCCTCCGTGCCGCGCCGGCTCGCGCGCGCGCCGGCAAGCCGCGCGACGGCGCCCAGGCCGCCGCGCACAGCGGCGACGACCCGCTGGAGGCCGCGGGGCGCCGCCGCGCGCGGCGGCGCCAGCGCCTCGGCGGCGCCCTCCGCCATCCTCTCGGCCGCAGCCGAGAGGATGACAGTGGCGAGGTCGCCGCGCCAGTCGGTCTGCGGCACCGGCTCCGGCGCCGCCAGCGCCGGCGCTGGCGCGAGCGCCGGCACGGGCGCCGGCGCCGGCGAGGCGTGCGCCTGCTTGCGGCGCTGCCGCCGCGGCGCGGCGGCCGCGCCGTCGTCGGCGCCGGCGCCGGCGCCGCGGGCGCGCTTCATGCTCTCCGGATGGCGATCAGGTTGCTTGAAGGCATCGAGGTGCATTCTTGAACCGAGGGGGCCCTCTCCGGCAGCCGATGGTCGATCCGAGCGGCTCGACGCGGGCCAGCGTTCGGCCCGGCGCCTGGGCTGCCGCTACCGCCGCGAGAGGCCCGGGCGGCCTCGTCGCTCGCCCTGCTGACCAGCGCCGCGGTGTCCTCTGACGACTGCAGCGAGCTCTGCGGCGGCGGGCACCTCTCCGGCGGCGGCGGCGGCTGCGACGCGCGGAGCGTCTGGCGCTACGCTTCGTTGGGGCCGGCGGCCGCGGCGCTGGGCCGCGCCGCGGCGGCGTGGGGCGGCCGCTGGGCGAGGCGTACGAGGTGGGGCCGCTCGCGGTGCGCAGGCGCTGCCCCGCGCGCGCAGCTGTGCTCGGGCTAGGCTCGGCGGCGCGTGGGCGGCCGGGCGGCGGTTCGCGCGGAGCGGCGCGGCGTCGGGGCCTCGGAGAGCCCCGTGTACGGTCTTGGGCGACGCGGCCGCAGCTGGTCAGGTGCGTGGGGACAGGGCGCAGGTCTCGGGCCTCTGCCCGTCCCTCTCTCGCCGTGCCGCCCTTCCCTGTTCTTTTTTCGGCTGTTCCCTTTGTAGGCGGGTGGGTCCGCTGTCGCCAGGATGGCAGGTGGAGACGCGCGGTTTCTCTGGTGCTGCGTGGGCCGATTTGCGGGGCGTCCTCGAGCCGGCCGCGGATATGGTTACGGGCCGGATTGACACTCGGACAACACCAGGGTTTTTTTTCGCACTTCGCTTTTCCCAGCCTCCGGTTTTTCTCCCTGTCGGGTTTTCCCGGGGGCGGGGTTTTTCAGCGTCGTGTTTTCGCCCAGTCCTCTGGAAGCTCTTCCCGGAGGGTGCGGTGGCCTCGTCTTCCCAGCCTCGTGTCAAAGGACAAGGCTGTAGCTGACAAAGGGGCGGTGTCAATCCGGTTCCGCATCGTCAACGAGCTGCTCCTCAGAGCACGATGTCGCAACGGCGGTCCCAGGTCGCGGACCTCGAAGTCCCGGCTGCGTACGGGCCGTATCGGGCGGGGATCCCCTCTGAGCGGCGGCGAACCGAGAAGGCCGCTCAAGCGAAAGGCGGGCGCCGGGGGGAACGCAGTTCTCTGACCCTGACGGCGGCGTCGGCGCGGTGTCTAGAAACCTCGTGCGTTCTGGCCGTGTCCGGCGCCAATGCTGGATGGAAAACCGGACCCGCCCTGAGTATGGCATGTCCGCGCGGGCCGCGAAGCGAGTCCACGGACTGCGAGTGAGCCCCCGCGCGCCTGGCCCCTCGGAGCTAGATGCCGGCCCGACCGCCCGTGGCGGTCGCGGCTAGGCTTGGAGTCCCAGTGCCGCGAGGCCTGGTGCCGCAAACCCCCCGGGTAGGCCCTCTAGCTGTTAACCTCTCCTAGCCTAGCACCAGCCTCGGCAAAATTCATCGGCAGCCCCGGGGCCGACGCCATCAGCATCGGCGTGCGCGCGGTGGCCCGCCCGCGCCTCCGTGTTCTTCGACGCGGCCACGGGGTAGGACGCGTGCGTCGCGTCGTGGAAGACCGCCTCTGGCGAGCCAAAGAAGGGTCGCCCGCCCGCCGCGCGCTGCCCGCGGACCGCCATGGTCTGCGGGTGTAAGTGCCACTGCGACTGCTGCAACTACTTGTGCGGCGTCTGGGAGATCGAATACCGCCCGCGCGTCCCCGCGGCGTCTCTCGCGCGTGCGCGCGGCGCCGCCGAGACCCGCCTCGCCGCAGGCTCCGGGACGTGTCGATCCTCGTCGTGTTCACGGCGACCGTGGGCCTCGTCTTCGCCATCGCGGGCATCGCCGTGTTCCCCTTCCAGCCGTCCGTCGTGTCCGGCGTGCTCTGCATGGGCGCGAGCCTGCTGAGCCTCGCGGCGGCGTTCACGACGCTCTGCTGCTGCCAGCAGAAGCCCGGCGGCGCGCACAACGCGGCGCTCATGTGCATGGTCATCCAGCTCATGTCGGTGGCGTCGCTCCTCTACGCGGGCCAGGGCACGTCCTGGGACTTCTGCGGCGACACGACGGACTGCTACTACATCACGACCCAGGTGCCCTGCAGCGACGGCGCGCAGGAGAAGTGCTGGGCAGGGCAGGACAAGAGAGCGAAATTCCAAACTTCAAAGCCTCATATCTCGGCCGTTTTCCACTCGTTTTGGCTGATTTTTGGACGAGCGATCATCTCTTGGAACGGTCTCGAAGCGTGGATGCTTTTTCCGTGACGCGCGCGCGCGGAACACTCACGTTGAAGCGACGTTGCATCTCTCTTGTCCTGCCCAGGTGCTGGGAGAAGAACCCGTACGACTTCCTCCGCGGCGACGTGCCCACGCGCAAGCGCTGCGACCCGAAGACGTCCTACTTCTGCTACGACCGCATGCCGACGGACGTGTCCATCGACATCGACTCGAACGGCTTCGAGGCCTACATGGAGGACCTCTACCTCAGCGACCGCCTCGAGTCCTGCTCCGACTTCGAGGTCCTGGACGACCAGAACATCAACGACGTCGTGTCCGTCGCGATCGAGTTCGGCGGGCCCTACAAGCGGAACTGCGAGGACTACTGGCACGACTGCGGCGACAAGTCCAAGTCGACGGCCCAGACCTTCTGGGGCTTCGACGACCGCGACGACTGCATGAAGTACTACAAGAAGATGGGCAAGATCTGGCCCCTGACGTCGACGGGCCTCATCATGACGGGCGCCGTGGGGCAGGCCATCTTCTCCTTCCTCCACATGTACTACGCCGTCGCCGCGACGAACCTCTAAGGCGCGTCTTACGGGGCCGCGGGCCGCTCGACGACGAGGATCGCGGGCCGCCGCTCCTGGTCCATGCGGTTGCTCGCGACGGCGCCGAGGACCTCCTCGAACGTCCGCGGCGGCCGCGCGTCGAGGTCCGCGCCGAAGACGAAGCGGAAGAGCCGCGGCCGCCCGATGCCGCCGCCGAGCAGCTGCCACGTGGGCATCTCCATCTGCTGCTTCACGGCCGTCGTCGCGCGGAGGATGTCGCCCGGCAGCACGCCCGCGGCCTCGGCGTTCGAGCCCTCGCCGACCGCGCCGACGACGATGATCGGCGCGCCGTTCTTGTCGTCGCGCTCCTCGAGGATGACGCCGCAGGGCACGGGCACGTCGATGGCCAGGAGCTCCGCGGCCGCGTCCGTCCGCGGCTCGAAGAAGCACTCCGTGTCCGCGATCGTCCAGTCGGGGCTCGCGATGGGCAGCACGACGGAGAGGCCCTTCGACGGAGCCGGCGCCGGCGCGGCGCCCGCCTCCGGCGCGGGCATGGCCTCCATGTCCGCCGCGATCTCGCGCCGGAGCCGCGCGGCCTCGGCCCAGAGCGACGCGGCGTCGTCGCCGCCGCCGGCCCGGAGAAGCGTCGGGGGGCGGCGCGACGGCGGGTGCTGGAAGAAGCCTGTCGCGGTCGCGAGGAGCGCGAACCACGAGAGCCGCTGCATCATACAACGGTCGTGTGTGTGGCTTCTGTGTCGGTCTGTCAGCTGTGTGGCGGCTGTCGGCTGCGTCGGCGCACGACGCCGGCGGAGACGCAAGGGCTCGTCGGCCGCAGTGGGCTCGAGATATTTACTTCATCTTGCACTCACTCACGGACGACGTCCCAGCCCCTAGACCTCATCTTGTACGTATCACGGAGGCCCGGATCGAGGCAGAGTTACCTTCGATGTGCGTCGAACCTTCACGAGATGACGCAGTCGCCGTCCTCGGGCTCGGCGTCGTTGTAGCCGCAGATGGGCGCGATGTCGTCGTAGGGCACGGTCTTGACCGGGATGGTCTTCAGGAGCGGGTTGAGCACGCGCGTCCGGTACGCCTCGAGGTCCGCCTTCGTCGCGGCGATCGCGGAGAAGGAGAGCCGTTTGCCGCCCTGGAAGGGCTTGGTCACGGCGAAGCCGAAGATGGATTTGTCGAGCTTGCGGATCAGCTGCTCCTCGAACTCGGCGAGCGCGTCCTTCTTGTCGACCTCGACGCAGTAGAGCCAGAGGAGCGCGCCCGGCGGCAGCGCCTTCGCCGCGACCTTCTTGCGGATGGGCACGGCGTCGTCGTAGACGACGTGGCCCTGGGCCAGCGCCGGCGCCTGGGCGAGGATCTCGCTGTAGGCGACGGCGTCGCTGTCCGTGGAGAAGAGCATGACCGCGAGCCACGTCGGCCCGTCGCGCGCGACCGCGATCCACTTCCAGCCCGGCGCGTCGGCCTCGAAGGTCTCCCAGAGCTTCTCCATGGGCGCCGCGAAGGCGGCCTCGTCGCCGTTGGCCTTCCACTTGGCCACGTGCAGGATGCGGTCCGTGGCGTCGATGAAGCAGTCGCCGGCGCCCTCGTCGTCGCCGGCGTCGATCACCATGCGGCTCGGGTCCTAACAAGCACGTCGGTGACGACCTTTCATTGTTTTCCCAGTCAAAAACTCTCGAAAATCGTCACGACCGCAGGACGCTGGGAGGGCTCGCCCGCAGGAGGGATCCGCGGCGCATGCCGCGCGCCTTCTTCTTCTGCTCCATCGCCGCCATGTCCTTCGCGGACCACGCGCCGCAACAGGGAGAGCTGGGTGGATGACACGACGTCGAGGATCACGGGGCTGGCGGATACAAAAGTCGTTGTTTACCCAGGAGAGAACTCTCCTCACAGCTCACGGTTTGGGGCTGCCCTTGAAAAAAAAGGCGTCTGCGTTCCCCAACACATGGCGCCTCGTCGTTCGGGTCGCCGTTGAGGTAGCCGTCCCAACGCTCGGATGGCGCCGTCCTGGCAGTGGATCGCCGTGGTGCTTCTGAACACGATGAATGGCCCCGGGTTCGTGACGCTGCCCCAGGCGGGCCGCGACGCGGGCCCCGGCGTCGTGGTCGCGGTCATCGGCGGCTTCGGCCTCCTCGCGGCGTTCACGTCGCGCCGCGCCATCGCCGTCGTCGCGGAGCTCGAGGCGCGGCGCGGCGCCGGCGGCGTCGGCGATTTCGCGTCCATGAGCCGCGACGTCCTCGGCGCTCGCGCGGCGGCCGCGGCGGCGGCGGCGTGCGTCGCCGCGCTGCTGGCCTGCGGCCTGGCGCAGATCATCCTGTGCGTGCAGCTCGCGGACGCGCTCGAGCTGCGCGCGACGGGCGTCCGCTGCGCCGTGGCGCTGCGCGCGCCGGCCGCGGCCGCGGGGCCCCGCGTCGACGTCGGCTGCCGCCGCGCCGACGAGCCGCGGCCGGGCCCGGCCGTCGAGCTGAGCCGCGGCGTCGCGCTCACGCTGGCCCTGTGCGCCTACGCGGCGCGCCTCGCGAAGGACGCGGCGGCCGTCAAGGCCAAGGACGACCGCGCGGTCGAGAAGCGGCGGCGGCTCGCGGCGGCGCCCCAGTGCGTCGGCGCCGCGTGCTTCCTCGGCGCGGCGCTCCTGTTCCCGCGCTTCGTCGCGCGGCGCGGCGCCGCGCGGGCCCTCGGCGACGTCGCGGCCGTCGGCCCGAAGCCGGCCGCGGCGCTCGCGCCCGTGTGCTTCAACTTCGCCTTCGTCCTCGCCGTGCCGGCCCTCGCGGCGAACGGCGGCGCGGCGCGCGCGCGGCGCGGCTCCGACGCCGCCGTCGCCGCCGCGACTTTGGCCTACGCGGCGCTCGCGGCGCTCGGCGCGGGCGCGGGCGCCGCGGAGCCCCACGTCGCGTTGGCGATGGCGCGGGGGGGCGACGCGGGCGACGCCTTCGGCGTGTTCCTGCTCTACGTGTCCCAGCTCGCGGCGATCGAGACCTACCTCGCGGCCGCGGCGCGCGCGCTCGACGTCTTCGGCCCGCGGAAGTGGGCCCTCGAGGGGCCCGTCTGGCTGCTGGCATGCGCGTCCAAGGATTCGGGCGCCTTCGGCCTCGTCGTCGACTGGACGTCCGTGCTCCTGCTCGGCCTCACGAACTTCTCGCTCCCGCTCGCGCTCGACGAGGCGCTCGGCTACCCGAAGCTGAAGCGGAGCTCGTCGTCGGACCTGCTCCTGCTCGGGGCCGCGGCGGCGCCCCGGTCCCGGTCGCGCGCCGCGTCACGCGTCGCCTTCGTCGCGGCGACGGCGGCCTTCGTCGCGCTCATCGCCGCGCGCTGCGGCGCGCCCGAGGTCGTCGCCGCCGCGGCCGCGCTGGCCGTCGCCGGCCGGCTCCTCGCGCGGCCCCGGGGCTTCGCGCCGGACACGCCGACGTCCGCCGCAGACGCCCGCCAGTTCGAAGGCGCGTCGCCGCGCGCGCGCGTGACTCTCGACGGGTAAACATCACATTGTTGAACCATCTTGTGAAACTGGCATATCGAGAGCATTATTATGATGGAACGCTGCGTCCTCATGTTGGGGTTGGTCTTCGCTCGGGACGGGGGACCGCAGGCGCCGCGGCGCCTCGACACGATCAGCCTCGAAAGCAGCGACACCTGGATGGTCAAGCAGACGCACTACGACATTTTCAGCGGCAAGGAGTTTTACGCCCTCAAGAAAACCTCTGGCGGTGACGACGATGACGAAGGCTCGGGCATGAAGCGCTGCGAGAGCGGCTGCGCGGCCTACGGGGGCACCCTCGCCTGCATCGAGAACAAGGCCCAGCAGGACGTCGCGAAGATGTTCGCCGGCGAGGACGAGTGGCGCTACGTCGGCACGTACCAGATCGGCGGCGCGGCGCGCGACGACCCGGAGGCGGGCTGGCGCTGGACGTCCCAGGCCTGCGAGGACAGCGGAAACGACTTCACCGCGTGGCGCGGCGGCGAGCCCCAGGACTACGGCATCTGCAAGATCGAGCAGTGCGCCGCCATCGGCTACGAGGGCGACGACAAGTGGGTCGACGTGCCCTGCGGCGCCAAGCGCGGCGCGGCGTCCCGCGGCCGCGACGGTCTTCGAGAGCGCGGGGGAAACGAAGCACCATCGCATTCGGTAGGCTCGGCTGCCTCTGCGAGCGCTACGACGGGTCGGAGACGTCCGACTACTTCCGGGCGAACAAGGGCAAGATCGAGAGCGAGCACTGCACCGCCGGCGACATCGTCCTCATCATCTTCTTCTGCATGCTGCCCTTCATCTGCTGTTGCTGCATCGTGCTGTGCGTGCAGCACCGGCAACGGCAGCTGAAGAACGCGCCGCCGCCGATGGTGCAGATGACGCAGACGGCGCCGGCGCCGCCGCAAGCCTACGCGCAGCCCGCCCCACAGTACCAGCAGCCGATCCAGCAGGGCCAGATCGTCGGCCAGCCCTACCAGCAGCCGATCCAGCAGGGCCAGATCGTCGGCCAGGCCTACCAGCAGCCGATCCAGCAGGGCCGGGTCGTCGGCCCGGCCTACCAGCCCCAGGCCGCGGTCGTCACGGGCGCCGTCGTCGGCGGCGGCGCGGCCCCATCCTACGGCGTCGTCCCGGGCCAGGTCGTTCCCGGACAGGTCGTGGAAGGGAGCGTCGTCCAAGGCACCTACAACCCGGTCCAGCCCGGCTACGCGCCCGTGGAAAACCCACACGAGCCGGGGGCGAAGGTGTTTTAAGCGTGCTGTTTGACGACTCCGACGGCGACGCCTCAGGGTCGATTAATTTACTCGTGGTACGCGGGCGCGCGAGCGCGCGCGTTCGCGCCGCGAAGAAGTGCCCGTTTGTTTTGGCGCTTCTTCTTCTTGCGCCTGTCGACGCAGAGGCGCTTCTTCTGGCCCTCACCGTCGAACTTCTTCGCGCCGTTCAGCTTTCTGATGCGACACCGCGCGTCTTTCTCGCATTTCGGTTTCGTCTTCCGGTATTCGCACCCGCGTTTCGTCTTGCAGGCGCCCTGCTTGTTCTTGTAGCGACAGTGCTTCTTTTTCGAACACTTCTTCGAGTTGCCGTCGTACCGCGAGCAGACCTCGAGACACTTGTGCGATCCGGCGATCCACTCGCACTTGGCGCTCGCGTCGCACTCGCCGATTCTCTTCAACTTCGAGCAGCGCTTCGTCGCGGGGGTTGGCGCTGCGGAAGGCTTGGCCGACGGCCTGGGTGACCCGGAAGGCTGGGCCGACGGCTCGGCGGACGGCGCGGGCGTCGGCTTCGCGGACGGCGCGGGCGTCGGCTTCGCGGACGGCGCGGGCGTCGGCTCCTCGTAGTTGGTCTCCGTTTCCTCGAGTCGCACCTCGACGACGCGCTGGTCGAACTCCTCCCGGTTCTCCGAGATCGTCCGTTGCATCTCGGCCGCGACCTCGGCCATCTCCTCCGCGTCTCCGAAGGCGAGCCCGACCACGTCCGACGCGAGCGCCTTGACGCGTCCGACGATGAATCGGGCGCCGCCGTCGTCTTCCTCGCACGAGATGTCGACGTTCATGTCCGCGCCCTCGCGCAGGAATTCGCTCAGGAACTCCGCGATGACCGTAGCGAGTCGCCGATGGGCGCGTCGAATGCGCTCGCGCCGCGGAACAAAAAGTACATGTTCTTCACCGACGACACGTCCCAGCTGCCGATGTCCTGGTCGAACGCACGGGCGTTGTAGAACGCGGACTGCAGATTCGTCACGGACGACACGTCCCAGTCGCCGATGTCCGAGTTAAAATTTGCGGCCATGATGAACGCCTGGTACATGTCCGTCACGGCCTAGTGAAGTCCGATGCTCAGGTTTTAAACCCAGGTCTTTTGGTCTGATTCCCAGGTTTGATGCTTTTCCAGGTCTTTTTGAGTATGAAACCCAGGTCTTTTGGAGGTCCATTTTTTTTTATTATCCCCCCTATATAAATTACAGATATGTTTGCCGCTTGACGACAGGATGCCCCAACCCGTTTGTCCGCAGGAGTCAAGGGGATATAAATCTAGATGGGGTGGCAGGCGAAACGCGAGGTCCTCGTACTACTCGGGGCCGCCGCTAGCGTTTTCTTTCTTCTTCCACGCCGCAGCGCGCGGGCTGAGTGCAACGATGGCGGGTCGCGCGGCGCGGCGCGGCTGCGGAACCCTTCGACGGGGCGGGGCAGCGAATTTGGGCTGCTGAGATCATTGCGTTGGCTCGCGAGCGCGACGGTTGTTCGGCGGCGGGACGAGAGGGCGGCGGTGTGAGTCGAGTGTGCGATATTTTCTTGTCCTTAGAGGTTGGAGGCGCCCTATGGGTACCCGCGGGGGGCTCGAAACCTTCAGGACACACTTTTCCCACGATCTCAGAGCCTGCGCAGCCCCGGCGCCGACGGTGTCGCAACACAGTTTCTCGGGCAGCGTGCGGGCATTCGAGGTCGAGAACTTTTCGTGTCCTGAGATGCTCGAGCCCATCCATAGGTACCAACGAAGGGCTCTGCAGCGCCAGCAGACGGTCCACGACCATCATCATCGCGAACACGTCCAAGAGCTGCCCCAAAACCCCCTTCCTCGCGTGGCGCCAAACCGGACACGGTGCCCTCCAGCGCGCCTCGGTTTCCTTCCACCGGACCCGAACCGCCCGGACGCGTAAGTCTTGTCGCGGGCGCCTTCGCGGGGGAGCGAATACCGCTGCGGTCCGTCTGGGGCCGCGTCGACGACGGCGGCGTCGAAAAGTCCCCGGCCAAAAGTCGTCAACATTGCCCCAAAACGATGGGTTGCAGTACGAGGAGCTCGCGCAACATAATCTCGTTGAGCTGCCACCCCATACTATTTATTACCCCTTGCAGGAGTGCGCATGCGACGTCTGGGCTGCCCCGACGCCGCCAGAACCGCTATCGGGGCCCATCCCGGGCCACGGAAGTGCACTGGAGCACGCCAGTGAGTTGCGCCGGCGCTGCCCCATCCTTTTGGCGGAGTACATTCGGTCGATCACTGCGGCTGCGGGCTGCGCGCGCGCCCACTCGATTTCGGGATCCCGTCTATTACCGTCACAGTTTCACCCACTGAGCTAAAATGGCCTTCCCTATGCCGTTCTGTGTCTGATTGTAGGTTCGAATGCCCGCGCGCGCGCGCGCGCGGCGGCGGCGGCGGCGGCGGCGGCGGCGGCGGCGGCGGCGGCGGCGGCGGCGACGACGACGACGACGCTGCTGCTGCTGCTGCTGCTGCTGAAGGTGATGGAGGTGATTGTGGTCCACCTGTGGCCCACCGCCGGCGACCTGGACCACGCCCTGGGCGACTTCTAGGTTTTTTTCGTAATTCGAGGGCCTGGGTTTCAATCCCAGGTCTCTCTGCAGTTGTGTGACCGATAGACCTCTGAAATTGCGGGAGACTCACCTAGGCTTGTCAGTCATGTGCCAGACCACCTGTCTTGGCTGCAGCTTCATTGCCTTCTGCATGGCCAGCAGCCGTTCTTGGGCATACAGACCGTTCCAAGCCTTCTGGAACAGCTCGTTGAGCAGCTTCTTTCTCTGCTCCCGCCCATAACCAGGTGTGCACGCAATCATTGCTTTCACCCACTTGATCAGATCCTCAGAGCACTGAGACTGGTCGATGAAATCGGTGCCGTCCTCGTCGCCATATTTCCCGGTCACACCATTCAACAATCGGCTGACATTTCTATTCTGGTTCTTCCTCTTCCTCTGCTCATCCTTCTTCTTCTTCTCTATCTTGTCCAGATTGTCCTGGAGCTGCTTGGCACGTGCCTCTGCCGCCGCCAATTGCTGCCGCAAAGTTGTCGCTTCCACTAGTTCCATTCGGGCATTCGCCATCCACATGCACAACCTCTCGTAGTGCCACCCCATGGCCTTGATCGCATGGTACCATTGTCCTGCCTCCGGGTTGCGGAACACGAGGGGCACGGGCAGGACCAGCGGGCCCCGCGGGACGGGCGCGCCCGCGGCAGCCGCAGCCATGAGACCAACGACCAACGGCCAGCGCGTTAACCGACCAACTGCCATGCGTTAACCGCCGCGGGCCTATGCAGTTGAACTTCAACAAAAAAAAATAAGTCAGCACGCACGGTTTGGGTTGCGGCACATCATCGCCCGCATCGCGCAGCGATGAAATAACGTGATTCCCGGTACAATTTCAGGGCTGCGCTCGGCCAAGATATGCCAGGACCGCTCGGATACGGTGCCAAGTTTCGTAAGGATTGGTTCGTTAAGGTTGCGCAGGCTCGTGACGGACGACGTGTCCCAGGCGCTGATGTCCTCGCTGAAGTCGGCGGCGCCGTAGAAGAGGTTCGACAGGTCGGTCACGCCCGACGTGTCGAACTCGCTGATTTCGCCGTGCTCCATCTCCTCGTTCGCGAGCCACGCGGCGACAGCGTCTTTGAGACCTTGGTCCGTGAACGTTGCCACGCCGAACGCGGGCGCGAGGGCGATGATGGAGATGTGCTTCATGGTGGTGGTGCCGAAAGACGGCTTGCGGGGGGCGAGTTGGACTCTCGCTTGCTGTGGTGCCGAATGAACGGCTTGCGGGGTGCGAGTTGGACTCGCTTGCGGTGCCTGCGAAGGCGTATAGGTCGGACGCGCGGGACTGCGGAGCGGGGAGGGCGCACTCACCCGTGGATGAGCGTCTGCTGTGGCAGTAGTGAAGTCCGATGCTCAGGTTTTAAACCCAGGTCTTTTGGTCTGATTCCCAGGTTTGATGCTTTTCCAGGTCTTTTTGAGTATGAAACCCAGGTCTTTTGGAGGTCCATTTTTTTTATTATCCCCCCTATATAAATTACAGATATGTTTGCCGCTTGACGACAGGATGCCCCAACCCGTTTGTCCGCAGGAGTGCGCATGCGACGTCTGGGCTGCCCCGACGCCGCCAGAACCGCTATCGGGGCCCATCCCGGGCCAAGGAAGTGCACTGGAGCACGCCAGTGAGTTGCGCCGGCGCTGCCCCATCCTTTTGGCGGAGTACATTCGGTCGATCACTGCGGCTGCGGGCTGCGCGCGCGCCCACTCGATTTCGGGATCCCGTCTATTACCGTCACAGTTTCACCCACTGAGCTAAAATGGCCTTCCCTATGCCGTTCTGTGTCTGATTGTAGGTTCGAATGCCCGCGCGCGCGCGCGCGCGGCGGCGGCGGCGGCGGCGGCGGCGGCGGCGGCGGCGGCGGCGGCGACGGCGGCGACGACGACGACGACGCTGCTGCTGCTGCTGCTGCTGCTGCTGAAGGTGATGGAGGTGATTGTGGTCCACCTGTGGCCCACCGCCGGCGACCTGGACCACGCCCTGGGCGACTTCTAGGTTTTTTTCGTAATTCGAGGGCCTGGGTTTCAATCCCAGGTCTCTCTTAGTCTGAAACCCAGGTCTGATGCTCGATGCCCAGGTCTCTAGTCTCTGGGTCTCTGATGCCTGACCTTCACTATGTGGCAGGAATGCGATTCCGGGAAACGAGTGCCTTGGCCCCACTGCCTGCAGTGCTACCCACCGCTAGCCTACCGCTGCCACCGCTCCTCGGTCATCTTAGGTTCTAAGGGGGTTTAATACGAAGTCAGAGTTGCGCTATGGTTTCGGAGGTCCCGTTTTCTGATGATCGGGCTACGATTTAATCTAAGAGCGACCTGCGCGGTCCCCGTACTGCCAGATGGCGCAGGGGCGCGTACTGCGGCGTCGATAGTGGCGCGGGGCCTCAGCGCGATCGACGTGCCAGTGTCCCAGCGCGCGCCGCCGCCGCGGCTCGTCGTCGAGA